GGCTCCTCGGCCCGGTGACCGACGCTCATGTGGACACCACAGAACCAACGTTCATGGTTTCAATCTAAGGAAACACGTGTCTGTTTGTTCTTGTTTCATTCGTGCATGTTGCATTATTTCCTCCTGACATGACTGCGGCCGTCATAGAAAGTCTTAGAAAATGAAAAGTAATGTACAGATACTCAAGTACATGTACTCAGTTACTTTCCTCCAGTGAAAGCAGAAACGTACCCGGTGTCGTGAAAGTGGAGCCTCAGAACCGCCCAGACGGTCACACAGATGGTGGGAGTTCCTGTAACCGTCAACACAAACTGCATTCAGGCATTAATCAGCAATAAAACTTCATGTTTATGTCATAATTACAGTTCATCGGTCAAATCATGCGTTTGGAAATCCCAACAACAGATTCGAATGTTTGTGGTGCAAATGTCTTGCACATATAGAAGTAAAGCATCCAGAGATGTCCCTCAGAGGAATATTTCTACTTCAGCTAAAACACTAATTGGCAAAATTTAGCTAAACTCTTGGCAAAAAAAAACCAACAAAAAAAGTTCAAATGAGACCTCCAGGACGTCCAGAACAGGACGTCATGTTTTAATCCCCCAAAATATACGACTAAGTTTTTCCATGTTCAGTTAAAAATCTGTAGATTGAATCTAAAATCAAATGCACGCCAGGAAAAGCACAATGAAAGTATTTCTGAAGGTCACGGCATCCGTTTGTCCGGATGTGGTCGGCACTAATGGAAGCCGCTCACCCCAGCCTACGATGGTGTACCAGTAGAAGTAGCGCCGCTCGGGGAAGAAGGTCTCCACCAGCAGGGTGAAGAGGTACAGGCCTTCGATGAACAGCCAGAAGTAGTTGGACATGACGCAGTAGTGGAAGAAGACCATCACGGCTTTACACGCCACCTGCAGGCGGAGACACGACGCGCAGTTAAAGGAAGAGTTTTATCCCTCGTAGCCGAACCGCTGACTGTTCATGGATCTTGTAATAATTAACATGATCATAAACAACTCAGACTGTTCTTGGTGGTCGTTCACTCTGCAAGTCATTAAAATGGGTTTTCACCTTCCCGCTGGTCCTTGAACGACTCGTCTGTTGGCTGAATTAATTACATCTATGCTTGAAATCGGGATAATTCATCGAACTTTATTTAAAAATCCAGCCAACAGAAAACGCTTGCGACCAACAAACGTGTTTAAAACTCCGGGACTTCTCGTCTGGACTCGGCTGAACTGCAGGTTGTGTTTACGCAGAGCAGAAGGATGGAAGTGTTAAAATATCTACGGTGTGCAGAGGAACCTTTAAAAAAAGCAGTAGAAGTGTTAGCAGCTGTAGTCTGTTTTCTAGATTTGAAAAAAGTTCCTTTGGTATAATTTACAGCACTATATACTCTATATTACACTATAACTATAACTGCACTAAACTTTTACTGAAGTGAAACCGTTGAGCAGAAATGCATCGACGGGAACAAAAACTTATCAGGATCAGCCTTAAAGGTCAGTGCTGCTTCTAAAAACTGAAAGTGACAAATGTCCCAGTTCCTGTAAACCACACCGTAGACCAGGGATCTCCAGCTCTGGTCCTCAGGAGCTCCTGTCCTGCAGGTTCTAGATGTTTCCAACACACCTGACTCACATGAATGGATCTCCAGCAGCTTGTTGTCAAGTTCTACACACGTCTGTTGATGATCCATTCATGTGAGTCTAGAACCGTCTAGAACCTGCAGGACAGGAGCTCCTGAGGACCAGACCTGGAGATCTCAGGAGCTGCAACGCTTCTCATCGTCCTGTAATTAACCTAAAACGACGAGTGAACATGCAGACGAGTCGCCGACGTGTCAGGTGACGGGTCATCTAACGACGTCGTGTTAACGACCGGGGTCCGCGCTCAGAGCGGGGTCGGCCAATCACAGCACCGATCTGACTCTCGGTATGATGCTGACCTGGGATCGCCATGGCAACAGCAGTAAAGCAGTAGATTTTGAAAGGAAAAAAAAAAAAGGGGGCAAAGCAAGCATTGATATGTTAATAGCCTCTAGTAGAAGACTTCCAGTGGCCTTGCTGAAGCCATTAGCGTACCTAATTAGGTTTATTTATCATGGCTGCTTAACAACAGCGAGCAGAGCGCCGGCACCAGACAAAGGCTAAGAGCTTGTTGTGCATTCGTAATCAGCGAGTATTAGTCATCTAATAGCGTGTTTGCTTTATGTGGAAATTTGCATGTGATTGATGTTCCTTCAGAAGGTGAATATGAAACAGGAGCGAGCGTTCCAGCCTCTCCAGCACAACGTCCTGATTTACACGCAAACAGCTGCAATAACTAATAACAAACCGATAATCCTGCAGCCAATCGGCTTCAAGCTTCCTGACACTCCTGTGAGCAGCGATTCAGTCGGACTGTTTGGAATAACAACGGCCTCGTTTTTGTAATCGACTGCTTCAAATTAAAGTTAATGAGATTGTCAAATCAAAACGACCAATTTTCCATTAATAACTAAACCGTCCGGTTCCTTCCTTCCACAGCCGGCACGGTGAGCGGCTTCTGCTGACCGTGTGCACGAAGCAGTGGTCGCTGTCCTCCTGAGCGTACAGCACGCCGTCCTTGATGAACACCGAGATGGCCCTCAGGATGAAGGACACAAACAGGTTCATGTGGATGAAGTTCCTGGTGCAGTGGAGCTTCCTGGAGGGACGAGAGGACACACGAGACACATCTTATCAGAGCTCCTCATCACCAGCCAGAGTCAGATTTAAAGACTCCACACATTCCCCGTCATGACAACAGCCTCATCACAGTGAGTCACTGGAGAAGATGCTACCAAACCTCCACGAGCTACATCCATTTTATTTATAGTGATAGCAGGCGGCCTCCTTATTAAATCTGCTGCTGACCTTCAGAAGAAATGAGACTGGATATCGATTTATAACATCTGGTCCCAGTGAAGGCGCCTCCAGGGCAGAAAGGGTTAAAAACTCAGCTGGACGGCATCGTTTAGGTTTTATTGGGATTCTTCACTGGGACTACTGGTTGGAGGTGGAGCAGCTTCACAAAGCAGCAGAACATCCGGCTGGTTGGTGAGGGGAGGACACAGAGTGAAGCTACAACAGCTGGATGGACGTCTTCTAGAGGAGACATCCAGCCACCTTTAACCTCACATTTAGATAATTATTGTCCCCGAGCAGATGGATTTGTGTGACAATTCAACTGAACTGACACCATTTTTTATGTGTTTAACAAATTAATTAGAGCCCCTGTCTAATTAATTAAGCACTGTGGAAACCAGAAGTTTACATCCACTGTATAAAAAGACATAAAACGTTTTTATTCTCACCGTCTGACATTAAATCAGACTAAACGTTTCCTGTTTCAGCTCAGTCAGGATCACCAACATTATTTCTATTTGCTAAAAGCCAGAATAATGAGAGAGAGGATTTGTTATTATTTTCTTTAAAGTGAGACTTTTACATCCATTATCTTAGTATTTGGTTAAAAAATAAAATAAAATAAAAAAATCTGGAAAGGTTTAGTCACATTTAGTCACAATAAACTAACCCAGCATCACATTCAGCCACTAAAACTAATGTTTCTGTTCAGTAAATAACGATAATCTGACGTCTGAATCCAGAAATAACAACATGCTTCATTATTTTTAAATTTTTTTTTTTTTGTAAAACAGTACATTTGAAAATTCCTGGATAACAATAATAATTATATTTCAGCATGACAAACATTATTCTGGTTAAAGATCTCCTACATGCTGGTGTATGAACCGTTACAGAGACATGAGAGATGATTGTGGTGATTACCGCTGCTGTTAATTCAGGATATAAACCGGACACCAGGTGGAGGTCTAACAGTTTGTTATTCAGATCACGTGAACCCGTCGACAGCTCAAATACACGTGAATGACATTAAAGCAGAAAGCTCCACCATCCAGACCGTGTGAGCCGCTCTACGAGTTCCTCAAACTGTGATAAAAAGTGCACGAACAGCAATAAGAGTTTGTGTCATGAGGAGAACAAACCGTTCGCTGCTTCACCACAGCGTCGGACACACAAGCTTTAAGTGTGTGTTAGAAAAAATACAAAGTGTGAATGTTCATGAGTTCAGGTTCTCCTACACATCACACACAAACACAGTCTACAGGAAGGTAAAAGTCAGAACGGCTGCAGGTGAGTCAGAGATTATTTTAATTATCTGTTGTTTTATTCTTGAATTATCTTGTTTGGTTTCATAAATATGAGGACGGTGGACATTTTTAATTACTCAGTTCACGTACGACAGATATATTTATTATATTTTATTACATAGAGAACCTGGAAACTTTATTTACCAATTATTTAAATTCCAAAAGTCAAGTTTAGTTTTTTGTTGCCTGACTTTTTAAAAAAGAAAAAGCAAACTCAAGGCCTTGCATTTATGTTTTTATTTTATTTATTTATTTACTACTTTTTAATTTAAAAAAAAAAACTTATTCCATTTATCAGTTCTCTATTTACTCACCTGTTTACATATTTAAGTCTTTTTATATTGTGCTGCTTATTACCACATTTTTATCATTTCTCATTCTGTTTTTAAAATTCTGGATTTTATTTCTGTATCTTTTGATCATAGGTGTCTTATTTCATTTATTATTATTATTATTGTTATTATTA